TGTTTTATTTAGTTTTAAATATGAAACAAAAAAGATATAGGACATAGGTAACTGGGAAAGTCAAAATGTTAAAGAATAAAATACGACATTTTAAGTCTTTCTCGGTGTTGCTTGTAATACCAATATTCAATTGATAATTTATCATAAAATATAATTTCATATTTTTTAGTAATGAATTTCACCAATATTTAATTAAGTCACTGGTTCTAGATGAATAATACATTGTTAAATTGCACTCTACTGAAATAATATATTATCATAACGATTAACAAGTGATAAAATATGACAAAGACTGTGTAAAATTAATATCATTAATAATTAATTACAGCTGTTGAATTTGTGTTAATTTTGCTTATAATATATATTTAGTAAATAGATGTGCATGTATATCATCATGTTGACACATAACGTCGTATGTCAGTTTATACGAATCTACTCTCTAGTTTTTATATAATATTATTTTATGTCTAAGTCAACAGACCGGAAACCCACATTACAAAACATATTACTTTTTTCTATTTGTACCTAAACTTGTATTTTTCCGACCGGAATCACTAGAACTTGATTGTTTCTACTATAGTGGTACAATGCTAGAAATCGTCGACTTTTAATATATATTTGTGTAGTAAAATWATAAAATAATATAGGTACTAGTAGCAATAATGTCGATTTAAATAAATAATAATTGAATCAGAAAATATGATAATATCATATTTTTTTATGTAGGTTAAAAATTTCAACTTGAAATATATAAATACAAATGTTTATATTTTAAAACCGTATAGGTAATAATAATTTATCCGTCAATATATTTTGTGTAAGTACCTATCTRTAGTTCATATTAAATATTAAGTATGATTTGCGTAGACATGCACTATTGTATTAAAACCCTATGCATGATTACAAACAATTAGTAAAAAATATTTTACAAATCACACATTAGAATACATTTGAATTTGTATTTCATCTCTTACAAGTTGTATAAATACGTCTTGTGTTACAAAATTTTTAATTTTTTTTTACACCTAGATATATAATATAATATAATAAAACCTAAATATTTGTGTGAGGGGTATTACCAGTGGGTGTTTTCCCCTATCATGTGAATCATATTATGTTTATTTCTAATTGTTATCATAATGACTTATTGCACAGATTATGTGTATAGATTGTCTTTTTCTTAATAMAWTTTTTTTATAAATTTAAAAAAATTAAATTAAAATTTTTCAGCATATAAATGTGCATGCTATTACAAGTTTTAGATTACAACTTATTTTTAATTTTTAATTTTTAATTTTTTTTACGTATGCAGTTTATGTAAAATGTACTGATGTACTTATATATAGTAGCTTATATTCAATTATAATATCAAATTTCTAACTAATTAAAATTACTTGTTCGGAATAGAAATTTCATATTCTTAGAAAAATATTCCTYGGAATAAATAATAAATAATTTATGTTGTCATTTAAAATATATACCTTTTTTTTAATATGTTGTTTTGAACTAAAATAATAATAAATTAAAATGGAGAAAAAATATTTACAAAAATGCTAATACTTCCTAAAGAAAACGATAATTTAACTTTAAATTTTATAGAATCAATTATATAATAGAATTCGGTATTGTTAAACATAAAACAAAAWTTTTGTATAAGGTATAATATTAGGCGAATCGTTTGAATTTAACTATCTCCACATAGTCATAAATTAATGATTAATTCGCATGGTATTTTATCAATAATAACATAATTTTTACTCAGCTTATAACATTAAAACATCCGCGCATAATAATTTCATATTCACGTTAAGATATAAGCATAATGGGAATACCGATTTACTAGGTTTAAAAAAACAAAATGTGAAATTGTTGCCAAACTCGTCGGACAGATATGAAGGTGGGTACTGAACACTGTATGTCTGTATATACGTATTAATCTCTATTGAAATAAATCGGTTACACAATTTCGGATACAGCCGGGTGACATCTTCGAAATGCGATGCCGCGATGGCTATAATCGCAAAAACTGGTCCTGTTCTAAACTGACCACCCCACCATGACGTAACTATAATGTGTACATATAGGTTTATTCTTGTCGCGGAGAAAGTGTCATTTGGCGATTACGGCCGATTAACTAAGTCAGAGGGGAGTGTGAAGCAAAAGAAAAAAACAATACCGGTATTTTGGCAGGATTATAAAAACCCCAGCGAGCAAGTGTTTGGCATCAGTTGTATCAGTGGAAATCATACAGATACCATCATAACCACCATCATGAAATTCTTTAAGGTAAGTTGTGCACTGCGCAAAATTACTTAGTAAAACAGAATAGTATTGAATACATTTTCAAATCCAAACATTTTTCGGTTGATTTTTTAATATAATTTGTGTTTGATAAATCGATTCGAATACTACGTTTGGTTTTYGTGAATCATAGCTATCATTAATTGTTGTATAACATTTTTTTTCTCAGGCTTGCATTGTCGGTTTGGCTTTAATAGCTCACTGTGTCGCTGCTGAGGATGCAAAGACCGATAACAAACAGACCAACAAGAGAAGCTTAGGCCTTTCAGGATTATCCGGTCTGTCCGGATACTCCGGGTCGTCATCATACGGATACGGCTCTGGTCTGCCTTCATACTCACCAGGCATCGGCCTCGCCGCCCCCATCAGTCACGGATACGCCGCTCCATCTAGTCTCGGATACTCTTCCTTCGCTGGTCAAGGTTACTCCGCCCCGATCGGTCTCGGTTAYGCTTCCTCCGCTGGACTCGGATACTCTTCCTTGGCTAATCTTGGTAACGCCGCCTCTTCCGGTTATGGAATAGCTGCTCCGTCTTACGGTTACGGAATCTCCGCTGCTTCTGCCGTGCCAACTAGAGTCACCACTTCCAATCATGTCGTGTCCGTATCCGTACCACAGCCATACGCCGTTCCAGTGACCCGCAACGTACCCGTACCGGTCGCCCAACCCGTGCCAGTGTCCGTACCCAGAGCCGTCCCGGTCAGCGTACCTCATCCAGTACCAGTCACTGTGAACAAGCCATACCCAGTCGATGTTCCCAGGGCTGTCCCAGTCAGCGTACCCCACCCAGTTCCAGTCTCCGTTAGCAGACCAGTGCCATACCCAGTGCCACAGCCATACCCAGTAGAAGTCCAACAAGCTGTCCCATACTCTGTCCCGACCCCAGTCATCGCTCCAGCTCCGGTTTCCTACGCCGTCGCTGCTCCAGCCCCAGCCATCAGCTACGCCGC